AGTTGAAGAGGTTTTGTTAGTGTACTGTTTCACACTGTAATTCCTAAACGCATGGATACACTACCACTTCCTTGGGTTGGGGGCATGACTCCTAACCCGGCTGCCTGAGCTGAGACAGTACAGTGCACACTCGTAGTGCTGCAGGGGTCTATAAACTATCGCAAACCAAATATCATGTCCATTTGCATTATGACAAGAGGATGGCAGATGAGATAGGTATTTTAAACCCTGTCTATGTCTGTTATTTAAGTGTTTCATTAAATCATATAATTGCCACAAATACCAAGTTCCACGTTATTTATCAAATAACATAGTTAATTGATACTTTCTTAACTTTTGGTTGGACAAAAACAGACATTTGAACCTTCGGCTTTATGATATACATTTTTAAAACGATTTCCCCATGTTTTATAACCAAGCAATTAATCACTTATTATAGAAAATAAGTGCCAGATTAATCAATAATGAAAATAATCGTTGTAGCTGCAGCCCTATTAATATGTAATTGACAAATTTCCCTCTAGACTAAATAATTTCTGACTCAATATTCATTAACGCTGAGCTTATTCTACTTTTTCAGGTCTGAAATGACTTCACACTTGTTTTAGTTATGGAACTCGCTTGAGAAAGCCAGCTGAAATAGTTTCATTTTTTCGTCCTACATTAGACCGACATGGTAAATCATCTTGTTTAAATTCATATAACCTATTAATAAGTAGTGACAAACTTATCTTTTATAGAACAATAAAACAACAAAAATATTAGTATTATTTTTGGTTTACGACTGACTGGAGTTCACAGCTGACCCACCCTTCACTTTATTTAGGCTACCAGTGCAAAATAAATAAGGGCATAACCCCATGGAAAACAGGCCAGCGGGTGAGATATTAAATTCAAGCTTTGTCACCTGTCGCTTTGATCTCCCTTTAGTTGGATGAATGAAACTGCAGAAACCTGTTGGACAAGCAAAACACTATGCAGCATGCATTCCAGTCTCAAAATATACATGTATTTAGTCTAAATGATAGTAGACATCCAGTAAGCTAACCACAGAGCGTATCCTCTGGATAGAGAAGGCCGCTTATAGGGTTTATAGCAGTGGTTCCCATCTTAGGGATTAGGACCCCTCCACAAGGTCAAAAGATAATTAATGGAACACGAAAAAAGAAAAACATTGTTCTGCTGCTCAAATTTCTTTAACCTAATTGTTGCTTTTTATTCTCTTGTAAAATATTATAATATAATAATGGTTTCCCCTTGTTGGGGTCTAAAAGTTAAAGTAAAACAATCAAATGAATCAAACTGAGAGGTTTATAGGAGAAATCAGTGTCAACCAATGATGATGGGTCACATCACCAGCAAGTACACACTTCATTAAAAGCAGTCACGAACCAAAACATGCTGGAAACTATTGTTTAATAGCTTATAGTTCAACTGTCTTATACAGTGCTTCCCAAACAAAATTTCAAAAAGAGAAAGAGGCCTAGATAACTAGTCTTTGTTTTAAGTATGAATAGTGTGAGGGCGCCTTGTGAATATTTGGCCCCCAGAGTGTACCACCCTCAGTACACACAGGCAATTTTGAAAATAGTGGGCTATCTCATAGGGGTGACCTGATGTGCATCCTGATGCGGATACATTTGTTAACAGCCTAATATCGGAGAGCCTATTTTCGGTATCCTGTGACTCATCCATTCATTAATCAAGACAATATAAGAAAACTGGATATTACCGTTTGATGCGGGCTTTCTTGCCTTCCGTGACAGTGTGAGCTGAACCTGCTGGTGAACGCGCAGACTCCGGTCGTTAGAATTCAGTTTCGTCGAGGATCTTGGAGTCGGCTCGGCCGGCAGAGCCAGACTGGTGTCATCCAGCACGAAGGAGTCCTGCGCAGGTAACGCTGATTTAAAAAACACCTCTTCCATTGTGAATAAATTCAAATCCGCTGAGAGTCTAGGTCGGTCGCTTCATTTGACTCGATATGTCGGATAATGTCCTTCTTTGTTGTCCCATTCAGGTGGGTCGACCGACGTCCTGACACTGAGGAGGGCGGGGCTAGAGGCGGACTTACCTGAGGTGTCAGGTGTGGGGAGGTAGGCCTATCGGTTAACATTACTTTTTAATATTACAATCAGTGTGGGATGTAACTAAATAAATTTACTCGGTCACTGCAGACTACTTATAACCAGGGTAGGTAATATATTTCAAATGCATTTTTGTTATAGACTATTTGTTGAAATTCTCTTTACATCCTGACAGCAATTAATAAATCAAATGCCCATAAACCCATCCAATCATTTCATTAGGCTGAAGTACAATTAACTCAGTTGTACTGTAATTATTTTCAATTCCTGCTACTTACGCCTACTACATTTCAGAGGGTAGTGTAGGCCTACTTTTAATCTACATTAATACAGCTTGACTATTCAAGGCATTGTAAGCAACTGATTCCAGGAGTTCAACTGGAAAGGATAAATGTGATTTTTTTTTACAAGGTACAAGGTAGATTTATTTGTCACATTACAACAGGTTGCAAAGTGAAACTGGGTTTGTAACTCCCTTCTGCTACAAAGCAATTAGAAAAATGGTAGACAGTAATAAACTATACTAATTTCTTTCTGTCCGCTCCATATATCACAGAGAAATCAACACATATGTTTAATCTTTCTATCGCAACAGGCTTATTTCCTAGTGTATGGAGGTCGGCTCAGGAAGTCACTGCTCTACATAAAGGATGTAATAGAAATGATCTAGATCAGGGGTCTGAGAGTCTCAAGTCTGAGACTGTGGGCCTCCCCTCAGGCTTGGCAAAAGGCACCTCCTTGACCTTCCTTAGTTTCCTTAGAGGTTAGTTTCACTCAAGTCCAAGATGCCTAAGGGATCATGATTATGTTATTTGATGCCATAGACTCAACAATTGAACAAAAACAACCTAATATTGCTGTTTAACATAATTTCAGACTACACCAAATACAAAAAGAGGTCTGTCCTGAGGCATTTATTGTTTCTGACTCTGGGAAAGTGGGAAATACAGTAAAATTCCCCTAAGCTACTGTATCTCTAAAATATCTCTTCAACCAAATCACACACATTTAGGATATTCTATCTCCTTTTTATAACTAATGTAATATTTTTTCACTGAGCCTCCCCTGGAACAGTTTAGAAACCCCCCAACTTGGAACACGTCTGATCTAGATAATTACAGAACAATAGTAGGTAGTGTCCAGGGTGAGAACACAAAAGGTGTTCTGCAAGGCTCAATTTCGGGTCTGTCCTCTTCACCATTTATATTAATAATATTGTCACATCATTAAGTGGTTGGCAAGTCCGTCTTTATGCTGATGACACTAGTGTGTACTGTATTGCTGATTCTGTACAATGAGCCAATGAAAACCTGCAACTTTCCTGTAATGCTTAAACTGGTACTTAATACAAATAAGACAAAATTCATACTGTTTACCAGAGACACCGATATTGATCATAATAGTATGCGTATATCCATGGCAAATGAATCTAACATTGAAATAGTTACTGAATATAAATATCTTGGCATCTGGCGGGATGAAAAAATTTACAGTAAAATACCATAAAGACAATCTTCTGCAAACTATGTCAAAAAAGTGACGGAGCAGTTTACAGGAGAAATCACACTTTGTTAACCAGTGACAATGGGTCATTAGCACACACTGCAATTTAAGATGGATAATTTATCTTTATTATAACTATGAATAATGTGAGAGAGGCGTGTGAATGTTTGGGACTGCCATCAGAAAATAGAAACAAGTCTGTCATATAGGGGTGGCCCGATGCCCGTGCATCTTGTTGCAGTCACCTGTGTAATAGTATCTGAGAGTCTATTGTGTGGTTAATCAAAATCACAGAAGAAAAATGAACGGTCTATCATTCTGCCCTCAGATTTATTACTGGTGATAGCTACGGCACTCACTATTGTATCCTGTTTGATAAAGTGTGGTCTTTTCTGGAAGAGAAGGACAATAGACATTGTTATTCATTAAAGTCCTTGTTGGAAAGCTGCCACCTTATGATGCTGGACTGGAACTTTGGAGCCAACCTAACTCACTAAAAATTATATATCTGATTTATACCATAGACTGTTTATACATGTAAGGTCCCCCGAAGGTGTCCCAAATGCTTGGAATGATCTTTAACACACACTGAAAATCAATACTCTACAACCTATCCCAAATTTCCCTATGTGTAACTGTTTTAACAGATTTTTCTTTAATCTCATATGTAATTTAACAGCTGTAGTGTAACTTAACTTTAAATATTATATCACATGGTTACAAGACAATTTAAATTATGGTTATAAATGCAAAATAACGTACCCACAAAGTAGTTATTTTTAAGTAGACTTTTACTTGTAATGAAGTATTATAATAATGTGGCATTGCTACTTTCATTTACTTGTACAACATCTGAATATTTTTTCCACCACTGATGATCATAAACACACCCAATTTTTTATGAGGGCACACAAAGTCAACTTTCAACTAGCAGGTGCAGGCTTCTGCTCACCTTGGGATGAATAAGTAATAGACACCTTTAGGAGTCACGATTAAGTTTTCCACACTAGACCAGAACATCGCCCCCTTTGCCTCGAGTTGTAAGGGGATAGCCAGACAGAAGAGCGAACTGTTTAACCCAAAATTGTCAATGCCAATAAACGTATAACATCACAGATGCTAATCCCTGCTGAGAATGGGGGGTTGGAGGTGTGAAGCTGCCCACATTTTTTACTCCCGGGTGCTACAGTAGATTAATCTAAGCAAAGTATTAAAACATAAAACCTTTAAATGTTTTGACATCATGGCTCATTAGGTGTTGGGCCTCTCATTGACAGGGCTTCTTTTTCTTCTGCTGCTGGTAGATACAAAGCCACAGAATCATTTGCCAAACAGGCATAATTATGACATTTTGCCTCATCGGCAATGTATACAGTAGATCTTGCCTTCAAATAAATGAAAATTCAACAACAGTTACAATAAGATGTTTCCCCTTTAATGCAGTATTTTCTCAAAATCACTGTTTCCAGTCCAGGTCTTCAAATCACATTCACATTAAACTTTTCTGTGCATAATATTTGTGACAAATCTTGTGTTTGCTTTCATAAAAAAAATTCTCTGGATACATCCATGTGACATTACAATGTGTTCAGCAAACAATCACGCTGTCTAAATCTGCAAATCATTTAGTGGACGCTTGTGTCCAGGTTGTCTTGCATTGTTGTGCTTGGGCACATACATTTCATATGTGCTGTCGTGCTTTACCCCTAAAAGGAGTGTTCATAGCTCAGCACAGACCCAAGCAGCAAGCAAAAGGTTTCAACAAGTGAAGGAAGAAGGTGTTTCAGGGGGACACTGAGCTCAAAATATTATATTAATGAGTTTAAGTTAAATTGATGTCATTTGGATTGTAATTTCATATGCTCTGGTACATGAGACTTGGCTTTATAAAACAGCATGGAGTAAAAAGAACAAGTTCCTGGGGTTCACTAGTTATAAATTTAACAATGAAGAAAGCAGAGCACTAAAAACACACTTTTCACATTATAAATGATCATATTCTTAAATTGCATTGATTAAATTCATAAAACAAGGTTGAAGATATTTTTTTTCACAAAGGGATTGGCCTAAAAATCTGTATAGTATAATGTGACATCAAAAAAGGTTCCCACCTGAATACCAACACATTTTTTTTTTTTATTTGGCACATCATATTTCATGTTCATCAACCACCAATACACACACACACACACACACACACACACACACACAGGTTTGAGGTGGATGGAGTCCTTATTCTACAAACAAGGCTGAAAGTTTATGATAGTTGAATTGGTGCATCAGAGTTTATGATATTGCTGATAAGACCTTGTAATGGAGCAGGTGAAAGGACACTAATGTTGTGATGTCTGAGTCACATGGAAAAACTGAAGTGGACATATGTTTTTACTCCTATAGTTGGAATAACACATTTTCATTGTCTTACCAAAGCCTGCAAAACATTCTTCTGCTCATTACTGTTCCGCCTTTGTTTTCTAAAACGGCACCCTCCCAAAATGTTATAAAAACCCGAATTCACAATTTATGTCAATATTTATTAATACTCAGTCATGTGTATCTGACACACACAAGTTGATTAGCAAGATGCTATATATATATATATATATATATATATATAGCATAAAAGAGTGTTTATTTAACCATCGTGTCTAGAAATATTTTTGAAGATCTGTTTTTGCCAATCTAACGTTAAAGTTAACTTCTATCCTGTCCTCATTTTGTGCTGTCTCACTGAAAACCTCATTCCAAAATCCAACTCTTCATCCATAATTGACAAACACACTGGTTTTACCACATCATGATTTAAAATGCATTACCTCCACCATCTGTATTTCATTATTTCATACTAGGACACAAACCAACCAACCTTCACATCCTTAAACACGTGGCACATTGTCATTGATACAAATATACTGTACATACATTTCTCATTGGGGTTTCTACATGTTTTTCCCCCTGCCCTTTATACACTGTTAAAAAATATAAAATATAAAGAGACATTTTAAAGGTTTGTTCAGGTTAAAAACACATGTTCAATGTTTCTCTTCAGCGCTATTTACAATTCTCTGTATAGTTACCAGTCGTCATTCAGCTGTCAGCACAGGAGTGAGTGGGTGTCTCTTTTCAATAAGAACAGTTACTGCTTATGGGCAAAAAATAATTATCTGAAATGTGACATTTTAAACTGCTAATTTCAACCATTTTTCTATCTACAGATCCAAAATGTAGATGTTGGTAATTGACAATATATAGTTGAGAGACATGCACCAATCGGCCGGATTTGAATCAGAGATATTACAGAAAAATTTAGCTTGTTTAGGCATTAACCCCCAAACCAGGAAGAAATATTTTTATTATACTTATATATTTCTTAACCAGTAAAAGCGCTTTTCCTGATAGTGTGCAACAACTCTTGATCGACAGACACTGTTACAGGCATTTTTCACAAGTTTTACAGACCAACCCATTGATAGGCCAAAATCATCAGCAGATCCATAATGAAAATAATTATTAGTTGCAGCCCTAGGTGCAAGTAATCTTAGTTACTTGCAGACATTGAACAAAACAATCATATTGTACATGGAAATGTCATTTGGTGGTCGATTGTACCCTATTGTAGAGTAGTCAACCGTAGACATTTTGATTTATGGTGAAATATACAACTGATTTGAACATAAACCACTTTTTTTTTTTTAATTACTAGATTTTAAATCAACTCAATGGACCCTAGCAGCATGGCAAAGATGCACTTGACACCATGAAATGCTTTCACTTGGACAACATGGGAAACAGTAAGCGCTCATTAAAGTTATGTGGCTTTAAATGGACAACAACACCAGTTTGTTGGATCAGTCAAGGTTAGCGGGATCGTAACTCCGGAGGCATTGGCTGAAGTTTAACTATGAACACGGAAGTACCATGTCAGGGGATATCAAGCACAGCCTCATGACTCAGATCCAATTTACTGAGGTATCACCTGGTACAGTCCTGTGAGAAAGTGCATCTTTGACCGTTCAGGGCCAAAAGCCATTCCTGTCTGGCCCTTTCCATTTGCTTTTGCTGTTTATAGTAATTGTTACAAATATTTGCACTTATTTCCATTCATTTGTTTTTGAAAAATATGTGATTTTATGTCAATTAACCCAACTAAAATGATAATTACTGATTAGACAGTTTAAAGAAAACCCCACTTTACATTAAATGGGGAGGAGATCCCTAAAATACATCACTGCTTGAGTGACTTTTTAAAAATGCGATCCCATGAAGCAGAATGTGATATATACGGTTATTATCATGGGTTGATGACCAAGACATTATTAAGTCTAGCAACATTCCCCACATGAACGTCCTTTGGGGTTAATTAATCTTTTATTGACTAGAAAGCATATCCATTTTTGCTTAGAAAATAAAAATAACCGACAAACAACCCAAATACAACATTCATACAAAGTTTCTGTAAGGCATTCCTTCACCAGGTCATTCACACCAGCAGACTCTGCTGCAGCTTCCTCTTCCCAAGCTCCAGCTCATCAGTCTGTTGTTTCCCAGCAAAAGAAAAAAAGTGTTCTCGAAATAGCTACACCCACAGTTTTTCTGTCAGAGACTTCTCCTGCTCTGTCACACAAGTCTTTAACACAGTTCTGGCCATGGCTTTGGTGTGTCCAGCAGATAAGACTAGAAATTATACATACAGGAGAGCCGTAACTCTGAAAAACCCTTAGATACATGCAAGACTGTACAGACTTTCGGTGACCAGTCAACGCAGGACAGGACACAGGGTTTAGGTGCAGTCCTATCTGCAGGAGGTGCCCAACACGCTGCCCGTTGAGGGGGTGGTGGCGGTAGCGCTGTAATGAGGGTAGTTGTCGTTTGTTGGCGGGCCTGGGAGGATGGAATTTCCGTTGGTTGGGGAGCAGCTGAGCTGGAGCCTCCGTAGGTACTCGGCGTGGACGGGTTTGTGGCTCTGCAGCACTTTGATGGCCTCGTCCACGGTGAACCACTCCCGCTTCCGGCCTGCAGAGGGAGGCAGAGCACAATGTAGTTCAAAAGAAGCTTTCATGTTGTCTTCCTTGTGTCCCCAAATATAGTGCAACTAAAGAGAGGTAACATACATATTCTACTCTTCACATCACTTATGTGTTTTTATAAAGAAGACACTTATTTAACGCTGCCTTTTCCACAGGTGGGACATTACATTGTATCAAAGCTATTTCTTGTAATATAAATGCAATAAAGGAAGTCATAAGCTTTAACATCTGCAGCATGTTACTCTCTCTTAACTATAGTAGGAGGAGATGTTTCACTCTAATAAAAAACTGGGTATATAAATTATAATGTAAACATTTTGGAGTAAGCAACCACAACAGGTAGCGTGTATTTAAATGTTATCCTCAAGATCAATTGTGTATATGTTTTAATACTTTGCTTACCAAATGCTTAGATGCTGTTCATACTGTACATACAACTTTACATTTGCACTGTCCATTCTCCAACTCTGTCCTCTTCTCTTCTACAAGTTTTTAATATATTCACATATACAGTATAACATTTGTATATTATAACTCAACTGTACATATATTAAAGATAAAGCATAACTGCACTTATCTGTATAAAACACTATATTTCTGCACTTCTGGTTTGATCCTTGCATTTCATCAGGTCTGTACTCTGCATAATGGCAATCAAGTTGAATCTAATCTAATATATAAATGTGCACGCATATACAAAAATAGAGTAGGCACTGTAACAGCGCTCAGATTTCAGAAAACAAGCAAATAGTGATGTAGCAGGCAGACGTAATAACTGGTAACACGTAGTGGATGCTCCCCACTGAGCACCTAACAAAGTAAGGCTGGGTTCTGGCGTCTAGGATACTGACAGCTGTTATATGCTGCAGCTCAGAACCCACTGCAGCTATGATCAGTGGCCTAGATTTATAGGCACCTGTTGTCACTGCATACCCCAATGCCCATAAAGTCTTCATGCAGTATACTGGCTCACATATATAAAAAGATGCAGTATATTGTGAAAGGCAAGCTAGTCGTCAGTTCAGCAAGAAGGACGGGACAGACACACACACACAACCAAGTCTAGTTGCCCTTGACTTTAACCTTCGTTGGATAACTATGACCTGGATGACTGAGAATCTTCACACACACACACACACACACACACACACGTAAAGGGAAACTGTACCTATGTTGACGGAGTCTTCCCAGGCCTCCAGTGTTTCTGTGACCGTCAACACATACACGTACGTCCGGTGCTTTCGATCCTGGTTTTGCTTTAGGGATCAGAAGGAAAGAAAACTGAATAATCAGTGATACAAAACCATAACTACACACGAATGCAAAAAGAAGTGTGACAGGATAGTATTCACGCCTGTAAAAATTCAAGCACTAAAAGTAGCATCTTAGCCATTTTCTGTTTATCTGTCCAATTCTTTTTCTTGTCAACACTAATCTAAACCAAAATACTTGTTGCACAAAAATGTTTTTGTAAAAAAGTACATGGTTATTTGTGCATTTTATACACGTGTAAGTGCACTTTGTTATACATATGTACGATAAAGTGTCTGAGGATGATGAAGTCATAAAAGCTTACCTCAAATACACCAAGCAGACGTCCTAGCTTGCCCTTCACGCCAGCCTTTTGGAATCAAATGAAGGAGAAAAAAAATGTTAGAAAAAGTGTTTTAGTCCCCCACTGGCCGCACAGCATGCAGAACAAAACCGACAACAGGGGACACTAAAACGCTTTTGTGAGATTGTTTAAAGGTTTTGAGTAGCTGTGGCCTTTGAATAGAGGGTGAAAACATTTGAAAAGCAGTTTGCAAACCACAGACTATATTCTGTGTCAAAAACAATGGGCATTGTGTATTTCATTTCAATGTTTAAAAGAACCTCAGGTCCGCCTCTATGTACTGAACTCGACTTTGACCTCCCAGACTTTGTTTCAATATGGAAATGCTTGATGAACAATTACCCAAATACTAAAACGTTCAGATCTGAACTACAGAATAAATACTGTTATCCAGAATGAGATATTTTTGGAGTTCATTTTTGTCCTCTGTGGCCTCACAGCTTCTTAGTTTTTTTTGTAAAAACTGTCAGCCAAACTACAATAGTTGTTTCTCTTAAAAAGGTGTAATGATTTCTATTTGAAACTGTACTGTTTAAGACTGGTTGAGTGAAATATCGATCATTTGTAATTTCCTGTTGCCTAGAAATAAAAAACCTGGCACGGATACAGAAAAAGTGTTCCCGAAATGCAATTATGTCCCTTTCATAACACTTAACGGTTGCTTTATTGATTCAGATGTACTTCACAGGAATCAAATTACTGTCAAGACACATGAAATCTGTCCTTTCACCTTCTCCAGTCCCCTGCTCCGCATACTTCACAAGTGTCACTCTGTCTCACTGATGTGTCCGGTGTCTGTGAATGCACAGGAATCCAGCGAGGAGCCAAGTTTAGACCGCTGACGTGGCTGAGAACACAAGGTTCTCAACCAGAGGGACCTCTGGAATACCAGCGGACCCTTCGGTCACCCAGCCACTGACACCGTTGCCCTTCAAAAATCCCTTAGCATGCACAATGCAGCCAACTATTCGAACCCCGCAACTCCATCTCCGGTCACTTTGGCATGTTTCTTACTGAAAATGATGTGTGAGAGACCCCGTCATGTGACCCCAGGGATGCATAGACGTGTATTGAGGACATTTTGCATCTAAAGCATCACAGGTGTAATGTCCTCAGCAACCAAATGGCAACACTGACCCAGAAGTCATGCTACGTATAAAATATATATATATATTTTACATTACAGCAGTTTTATACTCCTATTTTACTTTCTTCAACTATGAAATTGACCCATCTTGTCTTTATATGGGACTAACCTTTAACATAATCATTCTATTCATAATCATTTCTTGGTTGAAACTACCGTAGCTGTTGAAGCATTCAGTGCATTAAAATTACAAAAGTGATGATTATGTGGAACATAGACAGTTGCAGGGATGTTGGACTTTTATAGCAGCAGCAATAACACCAAGACATTTCCAGAGAGCAAATGTTTACATGCTGCTATAAATACCATACCATAAATACATAATGACCCGGTAGACCTTTGGATGTAAGTTACTATCAAACAGGTTTTTTTTTGCTGGTTTAACTATCAAAATAAAATGTGAGGCTATTTTTTGGCTGTAAACTGTTCTGTTCAACAACCTATATATACACCTTTGCTTTCTCATCATGAGCTCATTTTATGGTCGCACAAAAATGACCTCACTTTTGGAGTCGGTTCGGTTCATGTGATATTAAAACAAAACAAATTCTTCAGTTTATTCACCTCCTCAAACACTTCTCGCACAGCGGCACCACATGGCTCCTCTTCCGGCTCCATCCCACCTCCGGGAACGATCCACTGGTCCGGATGCCGACTGCTGCTGACCAGCAGAACCTATAATAAAAAGCACACATTTAAGAATTGTATCACATCTGACTTAATTTGTTTTAGTGTGAAATAAGGAATGTGTGTCTTCATGTGCCCCAAGAGGAAGCAGGATGTCTCACCAAAAAGGTTCTGTTGTTACAGAGGTACATTTAATGGGACATGGTTTTCAGCACATAACAGTACATTCATATTTACCTCTATTCACTAGCCTTGACTTAGTACGTCACATTGATACTGAGGACATAAGATTCTGGAGAAACCCAGTACCGGGACAAATACCATGATATAGAGCCAACAACGACACAGCATGTAACGAACATTAGTTAAGTTGTGGGTTAGCAAACTGTCATTACAGTCACTGCTGCAAAGCAAACATGCAGAGAGGACGAGACGGTCGCAGAGCCAGCACACCAGCTCCAGACAGCGATGCTCACAACTCTCCTGCTACTACAGTTAGGGCTGGGCAATAAATCAATAACAAAAATTAATACAATCTAATCTTCCTCTATGTAAATGTAACAAATGTTCAATAAATGTTTAATTCATTTGAATCACGAACAAATCAGAACTTAACCGTTTTGTTTGTTCAACTTTCACTAAGGAGCAAAAATCAGCCTTTAAACTCGAAAGAAATATTGATTTGACATCGATACGATACGAAATCTTTTATCGCGATAACATTTTTGGGCCATATCACCCAGCCCCAACTATAGCTAACATTTCAACAACAGCATGCGTGTGTGTGTGGCGGGGTAGGGCCCACTTTGGTTGTTTCCCCATTTACAGAGCCAGGGGTGTGCACAAACACCAGATTATTTTCAGCACACACACAGAACAGACAGCTTAACCGTAAGGAGTTATTTGCTGAACCAAAAGACGTGTATTGGATTAGACTCTCATAACCTTTAACAGGAGACCTGACCCTTTACCCATTTGACTCAGATCTCAGGGTCAGATGAGTGATGATTGGTGCCTTCTCTGCTCTTTATTATTCCATTGTTGCTTATGGGATCCTAAATGAACCACAGCACTTATAGCTTTAAATATTTAATCCTGACATTATATTTCATATAAATGGTCTTTTGAGTGACAGAAATGCATGGAATAAATGGAATATGCATAAAAATATGAGAATGATCCACACTCACAAATAGTACTTTACTCCATTTAAATGTCAGTTGATAATTCCAATTGTTTTAAAATATCACACATTAACATTATTAGACTCTTAACTAGACCAAACTGATTTATCCTTACGTTTTTGGGGACCTTAGCGTGTATCCATTATATCTTTTGGTGATAACATTCTCCTGTTTTTGGTTACTAACTATTTTGGTTTCCCATTTCCCAGATGCTATATCTGGATCCTTCTGCCTTGCAAATACCATTTTCCAGCACACAGTGATGAAGCGGTAACAACACAACATGACCCCAGCAAACAATGCATGTAAACCAAACATGAGCCACTCAAAAGCTGTCAGCGCTCCACCGATGGGCCTGCGGGGCTTGAATTACACTACAGTTGCAGTGTACACTGATATGTGCAGATCGGATGTGCCTGTGTCTGCAGTTTCTTGCGGTACAGCAATCACAACAGACACAAGCACACCTGCTGTGAACATTATCGCATTTGCATGGAGCAATTCAGTCATTAGTAAAACAGCTGGTGACAGGACGCAGGTCTTGTTTATATAAGCAGCCAATACATGAAAAGCCAATGAAAGTCTTGTCGGTGGTTTGTTTATTTGTGATTCAACTGCATTTTAGGAATCCTATGCCACTTATTTGTCAGTATAGAAATTATTCTACAATACAGATGAATCAGTGACTGTAAATATACGCATTAAAGAGAGAAACGTGTATAAAGCAGCTTATGCAGGATATGCTGACGTCCATGTCTGCCACCCATCTGATTACCATATCCAGTAATCTGCCAGAGGAGTCAGTCTGTCACTTAATCCTAACTCATCTTTCACATAGCTTCCCTTATGTTCTCTAATGGGATTGTGGCTGCAACTACCACAGGTTTTTCCGAGGATCTTCTACACTTGGACGGCACATGCTTAGGGCCTTGACAAGTGAGCGCTGTTGGCTCCTATCTGCCTCACGTGCCGCGTTCACCCAGCTCGGCCAACTGCTTATTCCCAGACGATATAGGTTAGGATGAAGGGGCGGTAGGGAAGAAGGAGTACTTACTCCGCTGCCCCTACAAATGTCAGACGTGACGGTGTGCATTAAGTGAGTGCACGCTCTGAATATTTTCTGGAGATGAAAAAAAACGCAACTTATGTTTATCCTATAATCCAACAGGTGCATGTCTTTTATAGTGTGCAGTAAGTGACGCCTGTTGAAGGACGGTGCATTTACGCTTACAGCACAAAGAGTGCACAACATGACATCTTCTCAGTAGAGTGCAAATGTACAAAATGTGCAAAGTAAGAATTTTGTAACCTGCTTGAGTGAGCTCTTTGATGAACAGGCTGTCTTTTGGCAGTGAGTTGAGCAAAAACAAACTGGATGTCCACTTTTTGTACTTTAACTCACGATCTGTGGGGCTCTTAATTAAACTAGATAGTAATTGCTATTTGTTGGAATATTTAGAGGACCTTTGGTTTTCTTTGTGAAGCAACATGTGTGTCATATGTATCATGGGTTAATTTGTCCTGCTTTTAAACATGAATAGCACCTACCAGAAGTCTGTTATTTCATACAGGATAATATTGTGCCATGTAACTCCATGTGGGGTGGGTTATTTAATAAAAATAATTAATTCATTCTGTATTTTTGGGATGAGATTTCATGGCACTCCAACCCACTGCCCTCACTGTCTGACTGTGCGCTGAGCTGCAGCCAGCGAGGCTTAAAGGGAGATCACTGGTGTCAATGTGTCCAAAGCCGACAGTATGAGATGTATACAAAACAAAAGCCACAGAGCTTCCGGGGCAGCGAGGACATGGCATATCTCTGCTCCGGTTGTTCCATTTTTATCTTTTGCTTGTTGCCCCGACTCTTATCTGTCCATCCTCAGAATACCACGCAGGCTACACTCAGTTTTGTTTTAATGAATTTAGGAATGTAGAGCACCGAATCGACATATTACAAACTGTATGTAATTAAGAATGTGTTTCTTCGCATGTGCTTCTGAGATGAATACAGCTTCATGTTCATAAGAGGGAGCAGCAGGGCTTTGGTGCTGCCTTTAAGCTCTGCAAAAGGAAACTTTTATCTAGAAGACACATTTGTTACCTCAGCAAAAATCAAGCCTGCAAGACCGGTCGATTCCCTGAAATGTAAGTATATGACATTAATTAAGTGGTCAGTAATGTGGACGGTGGTCCCCACGCATTTTGACTGACATACCCCAATTATTAAAAAAAAAAATTATATAAAAAGTGGACATTGGTTCTATAACATTTTTTAATACAATGAAGCTTTTTAGCTGCTATTTCAACCAGTGAACCATTTCTTGACAACCATCTATCTACCTTTAGCTATTTTAACCATTAATCCACTACTTTTATCTATCTTTTGTTTTTTTACTATTTACCCATTATTTAGAGAACTATTGCAACCATTAATCTATTACTTTTAAAGGTTCAGTGTGTAACATTTAGGAGGATCTATCAGTGATGGAGCAGTTGGTTGCAATTTGCAACCCTCACCACTAGATGCCACTAAAACCTATACACTGAACCTTAAATAACTATTTCAACAGTTTATCCATTACTTTTAGCTATTTAACAGTTTATTAATTCCTTTGAGCCATCCATTTCAAACATTTACACCAACTACTTCCAGTGTTACAGCTGACTAGCATTTTCAATGAAAGTGTAGTTCCCATTTTATCAAATTAGTTGAGCTACTGTACAAATCTTTCCAAGTACCCCTTGGCAAATGTAGAAGACAGACACATAATCTATATACACTCAGAACTTTACTCTTTCTGAACGGTCTTAAAACCTCTGACAAACTGAAAAAAACAGCATGGCTTAAACTCCAGAGGCTACAGCTAAAAGCGTGAGGAAAAACCAAACAAAATAACTCACACCCTCATGACAGGCCACAACGGTCAGCTGACAGCTGAACTGGGAGAACAGAAAACCCACTTATATTTGAAAACAGGGGCATGGTGAAGGAGAAACCCCAGAGGAACACTGAGTGTTTCCCAATGACATTTTACTGTTTTGCAACTCACACCACTTCCCAGGGCCCCGCCCCCAGTGTGAAAAAGGAGGTGGGCAAATTCTGAGGCATACAGTAAATCTTGTCTGGGTAAAGAAACCCACTATTTCAGGCTCATGTGGCGTTATTTCAGCTTTCACTTGCAACAATGCAAAGTTACACAAGCTTCACCTCCTGGATAACCGACGTGGCATGCCATATGTATTAATGTGCAAAAGTTTGTCTTGTAATTGATTTAAAAAAGATGATAAGTCCGCCTCAACTCAATTTAAGGTGTCAGAACCACCATAGTAAAACACAGGCTATGGCAGTGAATCCTCTGGCATCGGCTCAAAAAGGGACAGCCGCAGGGTTAATCTGGAATACATAAACACCTCCTCCTCCTCCCCAGGAGGAACGCCCCTAGCTGTCAAATAAAGAAGGCTCTAAATGCCAGGCTGGGCCGGGTGCCGGGAGGAGAGACTGATGGAAAGTCTAAGTCACTCAAGTACACAAGTGCAGGGGTGGAATCAATAGTGGCAAGACAGTAATATAGTCGCTGCATTATACAGGTATCAACAAATAAGAGGAGTCGTAACCAGGGACTGCCAGAGACAAACAGCAGGAGTGGGCAAAGACAGAGAGACTTGATGCCTACATTTCAGACTTCCATTTCATTATCTGCAATCTGCTGTTCTACCTTTAATAGATAATAGCCTCTGGGTTACAATCTGGTAAACATGAAAGTTACTGCTAGAACTGTTTTCCTGACCAGAGAGTTCCTCTCACTCTGTATAATGTATGAACCCATGGCATTATATAAAGTTTATTTTAATAAAGCCTCAACACTGCCAAATACTGACAGATACAGTATGTAACGCATTGGGTTGCTTCTAAATGATGAAACACACAATATGTTGGTGGGGATGTTTAAAATTACACTGCCCAAATAATACTACATTGTTATTTAATAAACATTTTAATATTTTGAACACTTTCAAAATGTATTATTTGTGTAACAACAATTTGGAAGGGGAGGAGTGGTGGCACTTTATGCAACTGATGGGTGACGAATGAAGGAGAAAACAAACATCGATATCGAATGAACCACTCTATTGGTATCGGTATCACTTTAAGTGTACTAGAATTGGTACTGGTATCGTAAATTATTTAACGATACCCAGCCCTCCTGATGAGAGCGGTGAGACTGAACCAAAACAATAAGATGAGGGGTGTTTTAAAGCTCAGCAGAGTCAGGTGATACATCGCTGTAAGTTGGCAACTAATTTAATATTCCGCATAGGCATTTAATCTATTGTTGATTATAGCAGCTTTAAGGCCCCAAAGCCCTACTTTTGACTGCATTTTCATTATTTCTGTTCAGCCCCCAGGTGAGAAAGTTGTGATGATATACCTTCACAGTAACTGTTCGTCAGCTACGCAGCCCCAAATTTGTGGCTTTCACTAAGCGCGTCACAGTATCTAATTAGAATAAGTTAAAATGTTCATAACCTGCTGGGGGAAATTGTTACTACATATAGAATCAAAAAGTTACTTGTTCAATTTGAATTAAGTGTATGAATGAGTAGACTTCATCTAATTTTTTGGAAAAGATTCTACAACCTATCACTGCCCTGTTACGATGTAAAATAATTAAAGAAGCTCTTGCACCACGCCAGCCCCCAAGCAGCTTACATGCTGTTAAACTCTGGTGCCCTACTCAGCTATCACTGCACTGTCAGGTTCCCCTTTCCTCCTGTTCGGAGTTTAATTGCTGCCATAGAATACTAGACTACCCCACCCTGAGCTCAGCTTTCTACTTTTCCTCTGCAAAACAAAACAGCTCAGCAGCATGTATGTCTCTTATGTCACCACAGTTGGGTCTCCTGTGTCTAGGAACTGATTGTGTGTGTTTAAGGAAAGTATTGATAGCACAACAGCCCATATCTCAAGCTTCTTTAGACAGAAACTGCCATTGTTAGCACCCAAAATCACAATCAAGAGCACCAGATTCTCTTACGTATGTGATTGCGTGAGCAGACATGCCTGTCAAAGCTTGAAAATCCTGAGGGTGATGGTCACACCTACACCCTTCTGTTGTCACAATATTCTCCGAATGTCCTTTCCTGTGATTTCAAGTTAGAAGAAAAGAATCACGGAGTACAAACAACTTCTGAGAAAAATTGCGCAAGAGCTCAGTTCACAAAGTTTTGTAAGAAATACAAATCCATACCTCATATTATATACAACCAATTTTAGAAAATCTCTAAACCTCTTTTATGGTCCTAAATGTAAAACTTAGATATAATAATGAGATAACATATGTGTAAGCGAGCAGGTATGGTGTGTAAATCTTCAGATCTGTATGTTGTACAGCCAAACACTGGAGCTCTCTGAGCCAGTCTAGAGACACCAGACTGGGCTGCTTTTACAGTATATTGTGTAACAGTTTGTTTATGCCCAGCTCAAAAGGGGGATAAATTTGGACCTGCAAGAATATGCCACAATAACAGAGATAATGGTCCTGATGTTTGGACATAAATATGACTTTCTAGTAATATGGCTATACAGCTATTATTAGTCTACAAAGGAACCAGTAACTTAGCAGACAAAAATATATGTAGGAATAACTTGTGAGTAACCCAAAACAAAACATAAATTACTTAATACAACAGGGTTCTACTTAGACTGCCTAATCAACAACATACTAAAATATGGACCCAAAAAGTAGATTTTTTGTAAATATAGCCATTGTGTCGCTCCATCCATAACTGGCCTGATAACTTGAAAGAGAAAATTACATTAATTTAGGCTCTCTGGGTAAGTATGTCTATATTGTTACTCTTCTTAGCATCCATGTCCTAAAAACAAGGGAAAAAGGGAAAACAAAAAAGTCTATAAAATATACAAGTAAATTGATGTTTTGTGTATCCACTTGTTAAAGTTGTCAGACTCACTTAGACTAACCCCTTAAAAAAATTATTTTATTAATTTTTCTGTAGTTTTTGTACCGTTTGTCATCTGTATTTGATATGGGTCACTGTGTTCATTGTTGGCTTCTTATATATGTAGCATGTAAAATATTGTAAAAACCCAGAAATCCAACAATATGTTATTAGCTCTTGAAATAGTCCTAATATCTTGAGGATATGACAGACAATGTGTTTTTAAATTAGGTTAGGAGTGGAAAACACGTCTGAAAGCTGGATCTACTCTACCGAGAAAACTCTTTAAGACACATTTATTATTTACATGGCAAAGGCCCCTTTAAATCCTCATCCACATAATTGCTACGCAGCTGCCGCTCAAGGCCGGCGGGATGCAGCACAATCATGAATGGCCACTGCCTGGTCATGGATGCTCACCCTGACGTGGCATTAAATGTGGTCAAGTCACGCGACATTTGATATATTTAATAATAGACTTACGACCTATATTCTTAACTCTTCACTCAACACAGGCCGAGGTAAAAGCCAAATATTAAAGGAAACGTGCTACAGAGTGCCTCGCCCCCTCTGTGTTAGCTACCCTCAAGCGAGCGAGAAGCCAGCAGGATGTAGAGAGAATGTGTCTTCAAAATAAGAGCTTTTCTTAAAGCTCAAGCGGGGTTCTTGGTCCGGTGTTTTATTTTGAAAGTCGTGAAAGTCAGTCGTTCTTTGCTAATTGAACCTAACTTGACAATGAGCCTTTTTTTCGTTCTTTCTCTACGCGCTCCTCAAACTAGCCTAAACTGGATGGCTCAAGGCGCACCAGCAACAGCAGCATCACGGAAACACCAACCAAAACAGCGGCATTGAGAAAAACACAAAAACAGTGTAATTGCAGCTACACATAGAAGGAGACGACATAAATCACAACGCATGTTTTCATTAAAGACTAATGTCAATTTCATCCGTTAACACCACTGTGTTGTTTGAATGACTGGGTGCAGATAGGGGATGAGTAGGCCACAAAGTCATGCATACCCCCTGTACATTGTTCATATGGTCCAGTTACATAGACACATAACGTTACACTGCGGGATCTCACCTCTTCTTCACGCTCATTCTTGAAGCACAGACATGCTGCTCGCTTCTTGAAGCCCTCGCCATCGTACGTCCTGGTCTGGTTCGGTTTGAGCTTCATTATGGATTTATTGTGTCTCCTTTAGATAGGACCGGAGAAAACAGAGAGAGACGGGGGGATCCAACGAGTTAACAGCAGAGCCGCCGCATCGCTGCTGCTCTCTGCATCCGTAGCCCGAGATGGTCAGTAATGAGAGGAGGAGGGGTTGCTGGAGAGATCCCAAGGTAACAGACTATCCTGGATTTATGTTTTTTCCTCGTTAAATCAAGGAGCCCGGATGATGAATGCAAGGCAAGGCTCAAGCTGTTGCATGTGATTTCCAGTCGGCAATGTGTGCGTGTGTGTGTATGAAGTCCGGCAGGCACAGATATGTAGACTACAACCTACACAGCACAGCCCTCCTCTGGGTCCATTTGCGCATGGCCGCTGACTCAGTACAATGATCAAGCAGGCTGGAGTTTTAGATATACAGATCACTCCTCTGAAGTAGGATTGAGCTCATTGGTTGGGTTAGACTCAGTGGGTGGAGCTACAGTTCTGGTCAAAAACAGTGATATTATTAAACGAATGCGTAATTGTGCTGATTTCAGAATCTCGCACAACATAAGATTATTTGGCAAGTAGACTCGTACTATGTCAGAGTGTGCAGCCACTGATGGGGATGTTCGTGAAGAAAATTCAATCATCTTTCATTTAGGAGTGTTTTGTGCTTGGTCAGGGCTGTAGCCATGATTTTATACTGAGGCAATGAGTCCTACAATACCACCCACAATACATGATCTAAAATTGTTAATGTTTTAGTTATTCTGTTAACTGCTCACTTACATTTTCTTTTATTTCCTAATTTCAATGTTTAAATGATGTTTCAAAGCATTCAGCTTACTGCCAGGAATACAATTCTGGTTGTGAAATATTTCTTTCTTTGTTGATTAAGTAATTTTATATGAGTCTAAAAATATTGTAATCAGCCTATCAACCCTGCCCAGGTTTTTATAATTCCCAGAATAAATACACATGACTCAGTGTCTTCAATAGCTACAGCAGTGATGTCTGTGTGGTGCATAACTTGTAAAATGTTTTCTTATTATGCATGGAGATTAAAAACCTACTATGACAAGTCAAAATATTTGCTGTGAAAAAGATCGTCAAAAGTGAAACACAAAGAATATAGACAGATCATCCTGGAAATGGAAGGTTGTAGGTTAGGTTCAATCCGAACTTATGTAACATGTTTTGCTCTATATCAGTAAGGTATAAAGTACCAATTCTGAAATCAAAGCTATAAATTCCCCAGAATATGTTAAGAACAGCATATTTATCATAACCAACAAGGCTTGTTGCCTTGCCTTGAACTATTAAGCCTCAGGCTCATCTCAGTGTTAATGCCATACACAAATAAAACCAGCCCTGTTATAAGCTCATGTATTTGTCATCACACAGTCAGCATGACACTTTCATTGCACTTGTATGGGAGTTTTCTTTTTGTATTTCCACATTTCAAGTTCCACCTTTTTCTAAAGCGACATGTTACATAAACTTTGTTGGAGATAGAAAAAAAATAAGTCCACGGGTTGCTTAAACTGAGTACGAAAATGTTACTGCTGACACTTCCTAAATAGATTCTAGTTTTTGTGTCTAGGGTCTTTTGGTGGTGTTTTTGACAGAACTGCATGCAAGATCACATACTACATGTTCATTAGTTCCATCTAATCCAGTGTGCTGGGAAATCAGTCAGCTACTCCCAACTTTCATTGAATTTACATCATATCTTAGGTCATTTTGGAGGAGTGTCCCAATCAGTGTGAAAAAAAGAGGGAAGAGCTGAGGGTCCGAAGTGTCAGTGTTGCAATACAGTCTGTTTAGCTGGGCCGGGTTCATCCTCAATTAACTCTTTAAGTACTCCACTAATGCGATCCCTTCCGTCTTTAATAACTACTCCACAGGTGGGGTTTTAGAAACTGTGATTGCACTATAGGGTAGTGACGTATTAACTCATTAAATGTTTTACTGTTTCAATTATTTGAATAATAAATGGCGTGTGATACAGTACATGATTAAATGATAATATAGTGGTGACACATGTTTTTCTTTGTCCAGGTGCTTTAACATCCTCCTGCCTTCTCAGTTCACCTTTGACCTGCAGGCTGATGATGAACCATATGTTGTAACTTCCCCGATAACCTCAAAAGCCAAATGACTATCAGGAGACAAAGATTGATCAAAGAATGAGATTGATCAAAGTGGGTCAAAGTGTGAGATAATCCACTTGATTGTCAAGATTATCCAGTGTTGTTGCTAGTCATTCTTTATTTTATCTGAGTGCCTAGTTTCGGGCTATGGAAGACAATGTGCTGGCAAAATCAAAAAATCTGCACATTTACCTCCTTTGCACCATATTTATTTTAAGCTTTTGGACACTCATACCTTTGCCAGAGAATAAAACATGCCAGATATGTACAGAAAAGTATATAGTATAGTAAGTACTTACAGTAATATAATCTGTCACATAGAGGAGGGACATAGACATTAATGCATTTACAGGATGAATTGTAATAACTTTGGTAATCCCTTAACTTTTCATGTAGTTTCATTATCATGTCAAAACTTTAATTTTCTCAATAATTCTATGTTTACAACTACCTTCTGACTTATGAACACTGAAACACAAATGACGCTCCCATCAGCCTCAGCTTTAGGCCTACTGTTTAGTGCTAAGTAGCAATGTTAGCATAAATGCTAACATGCTAAACTAAGATGGTGAACATGGTAAACATTATTAGGAAACATCATCATCTTAGCATTGACATTATGAGCATATTAGCATGCTGACATTAGCATTTAGGTTTAGTACCTACAAACTACAGAGCTGCTAGCTTAGCTGTAGACTCTTAGTTTCCTTGTTATTGATGTCTCTTTTCATGCGCAGCAACAGCAGTCTCACATAGATTTACTGAAAATCACTGGGAGAACCAAACTAACTGATGAGCTCACTAATGGTGTCATGGGATTTAATGATCCAATCTGTGAAAGTCCTCACATGTTAACCTCAATAACCCTTTTTCGCCCATAACCCCAAAATCACTACATGCACTAGTCATTATTTTGACAATGTCATCACCTGAATGTGATGGAAATACAATAAGCCTGCAGGGCATCATGTTAGTGGGAGTACAGCATCATCGTCTTGTTTTAGCTGGTTTATACTGTCATTACACTGATCTGATCATGATGTGATTTCTTGAATGATGATTGCAGCCAATAACAAATAGTGTAAAATTATAGTAATTAAGTCAGAAATAGATGAAATAACAGATTACTTATTGAGTGCCTTATGAAGATACACACACAAACAAAAACAGACATCCACATGATGTAGAAAAAGGGAATAAAGAATATTAAGATAACAGTTACTAGATAGATATTTCTTGAAATGATGGTTGTGGGTATCTGTAGATGAAAGCAAATGTTTAAATGAACAACGTGGGTCGCTATATATAGCTCAGGTAACAGTATATTTGATGGATTAAGAAGTAATCTTCAAGTCCAAAAGTGATTGAAAAAATCAGATTATATAAGTGAGTGAACATTTTGGAGGATTATTATAGGATTAGTACAATTTTGGAGGACTTGTATCAGTGCTATCAGAGTTAGGGAGACATGTTAGAAAATTAATGTATTTATAGAATTGTAATGTCATTAGCATAGATATATGATGTTAAGTAATTTATTATGGACTAAAATTAGTATCTGGCTCTCAATTATAACAACAGATGCTCAGTCATGTTATGATCTTAATGGCATCAGTCGCCTCAGAGGAAAATAAATCTTTCTGTCATCATGCTACTTGAAGTGGTTTATCATCATCTTCTTGCATAGCAAAGAAGGTCAATGAAGAGGTCTCCTTTTAGCTGAGGTGTGAGGGGAATAGAAGGATCCAGTTTCTCCCTGCTTGCATCGAGACAGATGGAGGAACGAAAGGAGCCAGAGCTGTACGTCAGCCTATCGCTGTCCTCACTTTATCAGGAAAGTCAGAGGACATCTGCTTTCTGACAACACAGCAGGCTTAAACTACACACAGTATCACACACAAAGACAATTAAGCTACTACACACACAAATACATATACCACACACAGTCAAAACTGTACAAAGAAATCCACTGCTCATCTGTAGTTACATCTATACAGATACACAAACAGACAGAAACACTCTCACACACATGGAGTATAATCTTCCGATTCTTTTGCCTGTGATCCACTCAGTGTTTGCAGCCAACTCCGATTACGCGTATAAAATCCTGAGCTGATTAGCTCTCCCATAAGTCTCTTCTTTGACCTCAGTGCCGAGCCTTCAGACATGAGGCATGTGAGGGAATGGCTTCTTGCCAGACAGGGAAAATTAGAGCCACAAAGCTGAAATGCCTTCTAACTCAAAATTCTAACCAAGATGACGACAATGAGGCATCATTTATTCCCTCCTAAATTTAGTGCGTGGATAATCATGCAGTGGCTCCCAAGCTAATTTTAGATTGGGCCATCTGTTTTCCAGTAACATCTCCATTATTAGACACCTCAGCTTTAAATTAAGCTTTTGTAAACTCAGCCTTCCCTTACATATTCACTAGGACAAACAAAGATAGGACAGTTGTTTGCAGGTACTCAGGGTGAAGTGAATCATGGGATAGAGCTTATCCAATGATGAAGTGAGCTCCTGACAGCCGGCCAAGGCTGCTAAGATCGAAGTGAGCTGCTGTCACTGTTGAATATAGAGCCTGTGACGTCTCTGGAAATGGATCTCTGCCCTCCATAAAGGTGGTGAACCTGAGCCTTTCTGCTTTGTCCTGAGCCTACTGTTAGTTTAATCAAAACTTCAGTTAAATAGCTTTTCTCTCAAAAGTCTGAGGCTTTGGCACAAATGTTACATTTTAGCTGGCAGGACTCAAATGCATGACTCAGACAGGGTTTTGATGACTGGCAAAAACTTTATTGTGGACAGGGATTGATGACGGGGAGGAAGCCGGTCCGTGGCTGGGTGAAACTTGGGAGGTATTGGTGGTGGGGAAAATGGAGTGGCTAAGCCGAATAGAGGTAAGTGTGGCTGGCAGAGAACAAACAGGAAGCAGGCAGTGATCCTGTAGCACAAAAGAAAACAAGGTTACCAAGAAGCAAACCTGCAGGTAGGTGCGATGAGGAAAGGCAGGTGAGTTCACTGGGTGGGATGATTGTTGGCTGAAGATCAGGTGTGTAGAATCAGCGGTGCTAGGAGCCACTCCCACTCCAGCAGACACAGACAGACAACACAAAAATAGACAGGTGCAAAAAGAAACACAAGGAAAGGGAAGAACACCAGTAAATACAGAAAAACTAACACAGCATAACACAATATTGGTCCTAAACATTACAGAGAGCAGACTTTAGTTTTAATGCATGTTGAGTTTTA